GCCGAGGTGATTGAAGCAACGACTGATTACGAGGGGTACGTGGATCTTTCAGAATGCCGCTCTGATACGATCTCCTTTGATTACTATCTGGAATAAAGGCCACCGCCGATAAAGCTGATAGCGCTGAATCCAAAGCAGGCGTCTGCGCCTGTCACGAACACTGTTTGCTTCTCGATAATTTCGCTCAATCGAAAAATGACAATAAATCCGTGATTCCTTTTTCAAGCTAATGAAAAAGCTGTGCTTAAAACATCACCCATTGGTCCTGGTACATTCTGCGTACAGCGCGGTATGAATTGCGCTCATTCAATGTGCAGGACACGCAAAAAGCGCGCGCGACCCTAAATCCACTCACGCTCCGGCTGATCCTCGACAGCGATTTCGCTCCTCGTTAAGGGCGACTATGCGAATGCAGCACTGCGTCGTTAGCTTCGATTGATTTTATTGGCAATAAAATCAATGTTTGGGCTCGTCGGAAAGGGTTTTGCGGCGGCGAAAAGGGGGTCGCGGGGGTGTCGGGACGCGAGCTCAAAGCTGTCGCTCACGGGGAACGACGCGACGCGTGGATTATTCGCTTCCCTATCGGTAGACATTGCGCAATTGAAATCTACGTCGGCGGTCACTCGTGGGCACGAGCGTTTGCGGCGGAAAAGGGACGGGCCTAACGGAGAGATAAATCGGAGAGGGTTTCCGAACGTGTGTCCGAAATCCACCCGCCGATTTCAAGTGTCCGTCCGACCGCACCACCACCCCTTTATAGACTCTTCGAATTAATCGTGTCGCGAGTTTACTTTTGCTTTCAAATTCAATCTTACATTCCGCTGCTGCTCACCGCAGCGGGGCCTATCGAGTTAACGAGAAATCCCATTTTCGTTTTCACATTGCGCGATGCGATTTCAATCAACCGGGATTTGTGTACCTCACCACACTTATAAAAAGTTCATTTCGCTTTTATAAAAATTTCATTTAGAATTTACTCATCGAGAAAATTGAAACTGAAAATTAAAACATTACAAAAAGTGATAAATCCCGCAACATTTTGGCGAAAGAAAAATTGAATAAAAATTGCGCAATATTCATTTGTTTGTTAGCACTTCTCGCGCCGCGTGAAACGCTAAGCGTTATCACTAAAGTTACGATTTGCACCGGAAATTTCGGTAGTTTATACGATGAGATAAGCAATCTTTAGCAACTACGGACACTTCGCGCGCAACGGGAGAGCATCTGACACAGAGATTAGGCTAAGCGCGCGCGAAATTGTCTCGCAACGATATGCAAATTGCGGCATAAATGCTAATTGTAATTGCCCATGGAATGAATTCAGGGGCTCCCTCTTGACGAAGGGTTCGCTTCGTAGCTTAGCAGCGACCTTTGCCCTACGAGTCTGCCGAGTATCGAGCGACAAAACTACGGACGCTATTTAAAAGTTTTGCATGAGGCTGGCTTTCAGCCGCTCAATATGCCACTCATCATTCATTTTACTAACAAAGAAAACTTCTCTGAGATATTTTTCCCTTTTGTATCTAATTCCGTTCTATATGAAAAAAAACTCCGGTAAATTTTTTAGAAACATTATCCGTTCGCAAAACTCGTCCGCCACTTTTTATATTTCGTGCTGTCAGCAGGAATATTTGAAAGGGCCAATTACCAAAGAGAAAGCTGAATCAAAATAGGGGGACTTGGTTTTACGGTAAACGAAACGAAACGAAACGACAGGATTACAGCGTTAATTAATCTGCTAATATGTATTGCTAACGAGAATAGGACGCGGTGAGGCAATTTCGAATAAAACTCAATAACACGCTGACAAAGCTCTGAAACGATCATTCTTCTGATAAAACCTGTACAGAGAAAGAGAGATCAGAGGCTTTGATGTCAATTCGATCATATGACAGCGGCCGATGCCGCGAAGCGCGTTGTCGTCGCCGCACGTGGAGAACTTTCCATCTCGCCGCGGCAATGCGCGAATTTGACTTGCGAAATTGCGCGGGGATTAAGATCTCGCCTCGGGATCCGAGCACGTACTTGCCTCATCCGGACGAGTCGGAATCATGTCGTTGACAGTTTGTAAATGATCTAGTTTACGACGCGGGAAAGTGAGGGATAGGGTGCGGGCGTATTCCAATGCGAGACCGAAAGAGAAATGATGAGAGAAAGACAGAGGGAGAGAAAGAGGGAGAATGGAAGATACGGGATCGCGGAGGACAGAAGGGTCTTGTTGACTATTCATCTTCATGGCGATCAAACAAACTTTCGGGCAATTTACACGCGCGGAGCGGTGTATTGAAACTGGCAGAAATCGGATGTATTCTCGAACTTTACTTAACCATTATAAACACACATTCATCGCGTCTCATCGGACAATGAACAGCGTCGCATCGACAAGCTCTCGCCACTCTAATCCGGCGCTTTGCTCATGGATATAAATTTCCGCTAACAAATACATATACGTCGGAAGCTTTTGACCAACGTTTGACGAACACCGGGCCCGCCTTCTCCCGCTCGAACGACGGGCAAACCAACGGACGGCTTGACATTTGCATACGATGAACCCGCACAGGCGTTAACTGTTCGGGGACGTGGAACGAGCTACAAGTCACCTAGTACCAGTAATTGAAATGAGGGTAACTTCGAAGAGGGGTCGCACGAACAAACGAGAAACCCGAAAGTTCTTTCGGCGACAGTACATCCAATATTGAACGCGATTAAAACTGTTATATGACTCTTTGCATTATAACAGGATATCTCTTGTCGGCGAAACGTAAATATTGATGAAATAATTGAAACAAATACTGTATTACATCAAGATTCATATTTTTCTCGATTAAATATAATTTGAAATATCGTTGAAAATTTGTAATTTATAATGTGCAAATTTGTTATTTCTAGTTTACGACAAGTTAACAGTAATCTGTCGTATTTAATTACAACGTACGGTACAGTGGGTAGAGAAAAGTTTACAAAAGAGTAAAAAAAAAAAACCCCGTCAAGAAGCCCGGTTGAAACGCGGTTAATAAGTGGAACGACGCTGTAAAATGCGGGAAAGAGCGGGCGCGCTGAAATGCCCCTTGAAACTTTACGGACTATGAAAGCGGAATGAAAGCGGGCGGTACAGCGCGAGAGGCGGGCGCGCAGGATGGGAAGTTTAATTAAATATCACACGACATATTATGGGAGGCGGGGGACGCCCGTGTGTGGTGTCGATGGCAAGCAACGTCGGGGACAGGTTGCGAGACCGAAAAGTCCCTGCCAACGAGCGAGCGAGTCCGAGTTTGTCGTAGCAACGGATAACGCAGCGGGAACGCTACCGTCGGAAGTTAACGGAGGGCAGCGAGCCATCCAGACATTTCAGCATCATCGGTACCCTTTTATAAAGCGGCTAGTCTGAAAATTCCATTCCGACCCTTGCGCGCGCTTCTCTTATATTCACCCTCGCAGCATCGGCAATTGCTGATTCAATTCTCGCGAAAGGAACAGCATTCCTCGAACGGCGCGGACGACAATTTACTTTTAATCTCATAATGTTCCCACAGCAGAGATTCTGCCGCAAAGATTTCAGCGCAAACTAACGAAAAATGTGATATAAAGGGAATATTCAAGGTGCCGATAACAAAGAAACCTAAGCAGATTATTCTCCTTGTTTGATAAATGCAGAAGAATAATAGCGCGCGTAATATGTTTAGCAAAATTATACCGATGGAGGAATATCTATAGAAACACAGGGGTCGAAAGATCACGTGACTTCCCTAGCCTGCCAAAAGGAAACCTTTGCACAAGTCACCCCGGTGCGTTGATCCTTGTCGCATCCACGATGACTCGCGAATTAAAAGCCCATGAATATGGTAAGGATGCAAATTCCGTCGGTGTTTACTCGGGATCAGTGTTACACGACAATCTGCATACTCGAGTGCCGGAGTGCTCGTAACGCGCAACGAGGGTCACGAATCAACCCGATTCAGAGGATATCGTACACACAAGGCAACCGTGTAGAGTTAATCACGACCCACGACATTCCTTCGCGAGATTGCTCCGGCATGAATCTAATCCGCAACTCTTGTTAGCGAAAGTTTCGCACTGCACGAGCGGAGCAGCAACACGAGAATCTCGATCTACGCGGATTTGCTTGGTGGTTTAGCGATTTCCCCAATCGATGAGTATCATTCGCCGCGAAAAAGAGATGATCCCCCCATTTTGTTCATCCCCATCGATTAATCCGTTAGCCACTCGCTACCAACCTGTGCGTACCGTTCAATTATCGAGGGTCTCCCTACAGGCGCTAACTGAGTTGTTACCTCGATAATTCGTACGTCGTAGTATCGGCCGTAATACCGGGGGCTCGCCACGTTAATTTGCGGCTCGGCATGAGAATTTCCGCTTAGTTGCATTATCCCGGAACTTATCGCACGCCGTCAGTAATCAATCAATGTAGAAGCCGAACGCGTTTTGCCGACATAAAGCGTTACGAAAATTTTCATACTTTGGGAATAGCGTAATTACTTTTCTATACATTAATTAATAATTACACATTGTAGAATATAAATCGGGCTGATAAAAATATCAGGTTGATGAAAAAGATTTGTCGTTTTTGCGTAAAGGTCTTTTTAAATTGAATGATTGATTTCTATTCTAAAAATGCAGAGTTTTTAAATCCAGTATACAAAAAAATTTGTTTCCAGACAGAAAAAGAATGTTTTAAAGCCGATGGCAACTATTTTAACAAAAATTGGTTTAAAATTATGTAATTATGTCTTTAATTTCACTCGACAAAACTTTTGCATCAACCTAATATAATCACATGAAAACTTTTCATTTTTTTAAATATAAATTTAAAGATAAAAAAAGTATTTCATTAAAAATGTTCCTCTGTTTTTCATAAAATGGAGAAATACATATTATAATTTTTATTTGTTTCACTCGACACGCAACGCCTGTTACATGGCTTAGGCAGAATTATATTCTCGTATTATTTCGTTTAATGTCAACTAAAGAGAAAGACTTACCTGTGTAAGGTCGACAGTAGTTGCGATTTGCTCTGCTGTAAATCGCCGGCAAGGACGTCTCCGCTCCCGGTTCCACGTACGCCTTGCTCTTGCTGTCTCTAGGGTCGCTGTATTGTTCCACGACCTCGACTTCCGCCTGCAAACAAAACATAGATTGCTTCCTTCCGTTACGAAAGACGTTCCGTACATATTTCGTGTTTGAAATCGATTCGGTCTTTCCATTCAAAGATTTCGTTCACAATATATTGTTGTCGTTTTTGCGTAAAGGTCTTTTTAAATTAAATTATTGATTTCTATTCTAAAATTACGGAGTTTTTAAATCCAGTGTGAAAACGATAACATTAGACAAGCGACATGTGACGGAACGCGTCATTGGCTCGGGTTGCTATAACAATACTAATTTCGCGACGTGATTCTCCTAGGTATCCTCGTATGCATAGTAATGTTCAACTTTGTCCCGTATAGGGAATATCTTTGGAAAGGGTTAGACACTAGGTTCGTTTAAGTGTGCGCGCCGGCGTAAGCTCGGTGCCATTTTCCGATCCTGAATGCAGGCAATTGCGGTAATACCTTGAACGCGCTCACACTTCCACCCGTCCCCTAAATGACGATCGTTATTTCGAGAGAAAACAACTGCGGCGGCAATTTGTTTCCACCGGCACGTGTGATTAAACGTAGTGTTCAAATAATCAGCCAGATGACGGCAAACATTAATATCCCAGTCAGAGATTAAATGCGAAAATGCAAACACTTCGAGATACGACTAAAGTAATACGAATTACACGTTACATTCGTTCCAACAATCTCAATCCGAAGAAGACGTAAATTCCCTTCGACTAAATTCAATCGACTGCCGCCAGAAACGAAGGAAGGGGTTTCTCGTATTTCCTGCGGAAGCCGTTCAGTCGCGCCATGATTACGCGATCGGTGCTTCGCCGATATTAACGATAATAATCATAATAAAAGTAATAACAATTTCCCAAATAGACAAAGAACGAAGGGCGTGAAAGAGCAGAGAAAAAACACTGATCTCTGGCGTTGTGAGAAGAAAAAGGACCGAATTCGTGAAAGCGTTTTTTTTTTCTTTCTCTCACTATCTTTCTCTCTCTTTTCCTCTCGGTCTCATTCACCGTTGTATCGACGACCGAGGGAGAAAAGAAGAAACAAGAGGGTGCACGAGGTAGCTCAGCAGCGCGAGACGAGCAGACATTCTAGCGATGCAACGAGAAGGCGACGGTGGAGAAGACAAGTAGCCTTAAATTGAAAGAGCCCAAAATTGGAATTCTCCTGCCAAAGTTGAGCGCGCTGTGCCTGCGGGGGCTGTTTCGAAGACGAAGTCGAATTGCTTCCAACCACCTTACGTACCAGCCCCGCAAAACGTCGACCCTCGCGACTTCTTCTCTATGGAACAGATAAATTTGTGGATGTTTATACGGAAATTACGATGAGAGAAGGAGGCGACTCGCAGGCACTGTGGAGGCCGCTCGTTCGGCTGTCGCAAATCTGATGACAAACGGGCTGGCTCGACTTTCTGCAACGCAAATCCCGCGCCGATGATTGCGAAAACGATTACGTGGGGTTATCGAACGTGCCGGTGAGGAATCGAATTGATTTGGTGGATGAAAACACGCGGGTTTAGCGACGCCTCGTTAAGCGGATAAAGCAAATACGCGCGTTGACGGTAGAAGCGATGACAAATAATAAATATACAGAGCGTTTCAAGTTGGTCGGATTTTTCTCCGGACGATGTGTTTGACCGCGTTTGAAGATTATTGTTCGCTTCAAATACAATGCTATCGAATTCAAACGGCGCGAGTCACGCTCTGTTGTTAATGCCGTTCGATTTATCGAAGGCTTTAATCCGATTATTTGCTCACCGTGTTATAATTGACCGTAATCAGCTGACCTAATCGTTGGACTTTACTGTATTTACGAGTCTCATCGCGCAATGACAATTTTTAAAGCGTTACTATATCCTATAAATTCATAATGTTTTAATAATGTATTTCGAAAAAGCAAATCGGAATCATATAAAATAAATTAATTTTTATTTTAATTAATAATCGCGTATTATTTTTCAAATATAGAATTCAATCACTGCAAGTGCAAAAAATAAAATTCGTTGTTCTTGCCAAAATGACTTGCCAAAGAATTTCACGAAGCATTAATATTAATGTTCGTCGCAACCTTGTAAAGCTGTATTAATGACGCATAGAGATATAGTTCATAACATAAATAACGCCGTTACACAGAACGGCACTCAGGAGAAAACGTCACGTCAGCGATGTCGATCGCTCTTAATTTAAAGAGGAACGCGCCAGTATTCTGACAATAATATAAGACGTCATTAACAGTATGCAGATAATAGCGTTTAAAGGAGTAAAGTTGCAAAAAAATGAGCGATGTGAGATAAGACGCCCATAAAAGCGCTTTTTACTAACACTGAAGTATTAGTCACTCTCACTCTCAGACGAGGAACATCGCACGAAGAGCTCTACATTGAATTCTCTCTCACGGAGTTAATTTTTTTCCCCGAATTCTTAGCGTCACAGTCAGACTTTCCTCTGGTCTGGTCGGATACTAATTACTTCCACTTTTCGATGTAATTTTACTTGCCGACGGTTAATCGCTTCCTCGGTGAATTCGACTTGATACAAATGACAACGAATTCTCATTCCCCCGGATTCTTCTTGCTCCGAATTTATCGACCAAATAAATCGAGCTGTTAATCGGTTTAAAAGAAGTAGAACTAAAAGGCTATAAGAAGTAGGAGAGAATCAAGAATCAAAATCTTGCGAATCGATGAAGACAAGATCAAAAATACACAACCGCAAACTTACAAAAGACGTGTCTACCAAGTTTCTCGCGCTAAAGCCCTTTGTTATAGTGATAAATGCGTGGCGGCACCAGTGCCCGATCTCACGCATAAAATAAAGCGCTAAAGTATTAAGTAGGGCTTACGAGCGGAACTCATAACGATTCACCCTCTCGAGTCAAGTGGTACCCGCTTTCTGTCTTTGTCACGCTCCCCCTTCGCCGCGACGTCCGGGACGCACTTTTCGCGGGGGTTGTCGGTGACAACGAGACGAAGGAAACTTTTGTTCGGCACACTCAGGTGTCGTCTCCACCCTCGCTTCTTCCTCTTTCTCTTACAAACTCCCTCGCGACAATTGTGTGGCGCATCCATATTTCCGTTTATTTGTATAATAATCAGGCGTCGCGTTGATTATAAAGAATTAAATTTTTATGAATTAGCATATCCAAGGAGGAAATAAAAAATCAATAGTATGTACAAAAGTGTTTAAAATAAGCAATGATATGTAAGAACAGATCTAAAAAATCTGAACAAACTTAAAATTTTTTGTATTTTAGAAGTCTTGATTTGAAAAATCATTAAGTTATTTTTCTTGATATTAAAAAAATAATAACCAGTCATTGATCAACGTTAATATATTATACAATTAAGAAAATAATATTGCAGCAATACATTATTGCTAAAAGTATCTATTTTCATCAGACGTTACTGTTTTTTTTCACGACAAGATCGTTCATGAGAGAAGCATGATATTTCGAGCGTACTTTCGAGGTACCCGTAGGAAGCGCGTGAAAATGAAACTATATTTCCACCGGCAAAAGCGTTTAGGCGCAGCGCTCGAGGCAACCCCAGGCACCAGGAACTGAGTGCCGGAGCAATTATAAGCAACGCCGGAAGTCGCCGGTCTCTCCATTCCACCACCGACGCTCCTCGTTCCGTTCGCGTCTGTTGTTACCACCTCTCGCACCCTCTGACACCCTTCATCCTCTTCCATGCCCCCGCGATGCCCTCCGCGTTATCCTGTGCCCGGGGGGTATTTTGTCACCGCTGTAATTATATTTCTCCCTTCGACTGATTCCCCGGCTATCCGTGTTGCGAAAATATCAATACTATCGTTAGCCAACAAAGCGACTCGGACCGTAGTCACAGGAAATGACGTCATGCACGTAGTGTATAGTAGGGATAAAACAATAGATATTGTGTATGTAGGTTACTGGTTTCAAAATTAGTTCACGATTCTGCATCTAAACGCGATATAAATATTTTATTTTTCGCAATTTTTTATTTTTAAAAATATCTTTGATCTTAATATTCATTAATTAAATTTATAACCAAAATAACTATTTATTATTTAGTATTATTATTAAAAATAGAACTTAGTGAAAGATAAGATTTGTATGAATAACATAATGCTTCGTAAAAATATGCAAAGCCTATCTAAAGAATTTTGTTTCCTTGCAGAAAACCCTCTAGCTTTTTTTTGATTCATTGCACGTCGCGAATGAAAAATATCGATAAACTTTTCGGGTTATGAACGAGCCACAATGGGGACGCGTGAACGCATAACGGTAGTGTGTTTGCTTAACGTAGTATTCATTGAACTGTGAATACAGATAAACGCGCAACTCCGATAAAATAAAGTTTTATTGTCACCGCAATAACGCCGCATTGCGTAAAAGCATTAATCTAGAGTTATTTATCGCCGCCTTCTAAATCTCTAAATTTTTCAAATACTGAATGCACTATTGTATCCCGCAACTAAATGACATATCGCATAAAGCACCACAGTAAAATAATTGCGAGTTCTGCAGAAAACATGTTCGAATGTTGTAAAGGGACGAAAAATTATTCGCCTCGACAATTTTCATAAATATTTTACGTTTGAAAAATGAGCCAATTAATATTGATTTCAATATAACAGAGTTCAGCGCTCCGTAAAGTGTTAAATTACTTAATTAAAACTTACATTCTCCACAGTCGGACTCGGCAGCGCCCATTGCACCGTGGAGGTTGCAGCTGCAGCGCTCGCAGGTCGTCTCTTGTTCACAAAGTCGACTGGTAAGCTGTAATCGTCGCACAGCGAGACCTGCAAGCACACAAACGGAAGAAATATATACGCCGAGCCGGTTTATTATCATTTCCCATTAACCGCGCCACCCAATGAGAATTTTCTCTTCAACTTTCATCGCTCTTCGTTGTCCCTACTCTTAATAGAGTTTCAAAGTTATAAGAAATGACTTTAACAAATGACGCAAACTCCGTGTAACTGAAAAACTTTATCCGCGCTCTTTAAATTTCTATCACAGGGTTGTACAAGAGCTGCTTAATCTTTCATTGCTAATCGCTGAGAAATATTATTTTTTAGAAAACTAATGTTACTATACAATAATATTTTATGTCATTGTATATAGAATTATAATATTATGTTATTATAGTATTCAATCCTTTCACAAATAAGATTAAATTATCCTCATTTAAATTTCCCGAGCGACTAAGCAAGCGGGTCGTTATTCTCGCTAGTTACCTTTAAAGTTACCGAAGCACGCACCGCCTTTGCCGAGCGACAGAAAACACGTAAAATATTGCTGGAAAAGTGAAGAACGACCAGCGAACGAGAATCCATGAGAAAGTTTACGGCATCAAACGGCAGAGGATTTGTGCCACTCGACAAATCGCAGAGTAAGCACCCCAAACCTCCTCCGCGCCCTCAAATCCCCGTCGACGCTGACTGGACCAGCTCATCAGCGATATTTACTGTCTGTCGGAGAATCGATCTCTATCGATGCGTGGATGCCCTGTTCCACTCAGTGCGTACGCGGACCGAGAGCGCGGGCCACGGCCTACCACCTACGTCTGTGCATGCATATAAATCGAGACAATCGCGGATCCCCAGAGGCGGCTTATCGCGCCGGGGCCCCCGGGGATGGCTGCCGGAGTTCACGGGGGTTGTGCGGTGTTCGCCCTGCGAAGGGAATTTCGCTCCCGCGCGAGGACCCTGTATGCAAATGGTCGGCGTTTATTGTGAGAAAACAGCGCCGTATGAATATGTGAAGTGGGAAACGAAACAAAAAGGAAAGAGAGGATAAACAGCCGAAGGACGCAGCGGAGGTGGGATGAGAAACGACCGGTTCGCGAAAAAGCGGAAATAGCCACGAAGGTATCGAGAATTGACGCGGCCGGGACTTAGCCGCGGAGAGAGAAGTGCGGGGTAGAAAAATCGATTTCCAGAGTGCAGCAACGAAATATACAAAGTGAGTCACTTTATACAGTTTCATTACTCGCGTATAACTCATTTGAAAACCCTCCACGTTACAAAATTGCTTAATATTTTTAGTCAGTAAATATATATATAGTCGGCAGTAGCATAGAAACGCGGGTAGTTGCAATTGTGGTCGAAATGCAATTGCCGAGAAACAATTCAGAACAGTTTAATTACGCGCATAAATTGTTAGAATAGTGCCGACGTTATAAAATTGCTCAATATTTTTAGTTGGTTAAGATTTATAGTTAATAGTGGTATAGAAATACGAATGCACTTATCAGGCGATAACTCACAACTACAGTTTAATTACGCGCACAATTTTATTTAAAAATCTCCTACGTTACAAAATTACTTAATATTTTTAATCATTTAAAATTTATAGTCAGCAGTGGTATAAGAACGCGTATGGTCAGACAACAATGCAGTTGTCGGAAGCGGTACAATTTAATTACGCGCATAACTCATGTTAAAATCCCTCACGTTATTAAATTTCTTAATATTTTCAGTCAGTTAGAAGTAATTTTAGAATTTATATCATCGGTCAACAATGCGATTATTACCAGTTGAAGCGATTATACTTGTAAAACAGATTATCATTCGACTATCAGCCACTGTTAGGTCGTGTAATTGAACTTAAGCGGTATAGTTTTACGTACTTCACCGGCTTCGGAGCGAGCACCTACCCCAGACTGAGCTGCATTCGCGCATTCATCGACACCGTAAGGAAGCCAAATACGAACTAGGCCGTCTCGGCAAGATGCATTCGGAGGAAATCCGAGAAAACCGCCAATGTCCGCGAGTCTGAGAGGATCGCATTTCACATTATCTCAAAATTCACCCCTGCCTCGTTGATATTGCTGATCCGAATATTTTTTTCATTGTACATTAAATCTAAACGTATTAGCATACAGTACGAATTGACAGCAGAGATCTTTTAACTCTGCATAATTATATTTTTATTCCATCAAGAGCCTATGAATTATTCATAAGTCTCACGTCAAAATATGATGCGTGGCCCGTACGCATCTAGCCGATACGGCCATAAATCACTACACACATAATCCTTAAAGTTTACCGAAATAGATTTTCCCATGATCCCCGGTGTCTCCCGAAATGATTTGTTTTCCCGTAAATCTCCGACGCCGCGTGAATTTTCCAAGTGCTTGTTATTGAGTGAGGTCGAAAAACGCCCGAAGTTTCCTCCCGCAATCGTGACGTTTATAAAGCGTTTATCGCACACTGTTTACCGTGTTCTTAAAGAAACACCGTGGTTACCCCTCATTACACAAAAGCGAGCGCGAGTCCGTGCTCTCTTGCGATTTCGCACGACCGAGATTAAGCTGGAATATTTAGCAAATGTTTCACATAAATCAAAGCCGCGCAATATGTTCGGAGTTCGAAGCGCAGCTATGTAAATTCATGGTAATACCGCTGGCCACCCTGCAGAGAGAAGTTTCGATTCGCGAAGAACCGAGGAGGGAGGAAGGGGGGGAGGGAGGTAAAGAAGCACATTGGGGGGAGTAAGCGAAAAGGGGAAGGCCGAGCGGCAGGGGAGGGAGAGAGGAAGCGAAAGAGGAGGGAGAGAAGAGAAAGTGAAGGATGAGGAGAACAGGAGAGAGAGAGAGAGGGAAAGAGAGGGCGACGAGCGCGTATTTCATGAACCCCTAAAGCAGCCCTGAGCATTGCGGCGACCGCCACAATCCCATTCATTCTCTTTATGGGCTCCCAAGTATTCGGGAGCGAGCTTGAATAAATCGGAAATTTGCCCCGCGGGGAACGAGTCGGCCCTCTTCACGATTTGCCCGCGACTTTCGGCCTGGTCATTCCCGAGCATCGTTCGTTTCGTTTTTTTTTTTTTTTGTCGCGCGACACACATGATGCACAGTTTCGATCGTTAATCCGAGTCCGCGGCGATACAAAGTGACGTGCCTAAATTGTCAAACGGATAAAGAGAACGACAACGCGATTATAATCGTGGAAATACTTAGCGCGTCTCAGTGTACGTCCCTTAACAATAATAATTTATAAGCTTCTTAAGTGGAGCGGTTTAGCAGAGCAGGAATCTAATCAATATTCTCGCATAATAGGCAAATGCTTTCGCTCGGTAATGACGGTGGTCCAAACCGTGGTAATAGGAAATGATATTAACGATTGCACTCCGAACTTCAGCTATGGATGGAATGTTTATTCCACGAAACTTCGGCATTCCTGACGCTGTTTGCAACATATATATTCATGCCAAAATTCTGACCGCGTTAATTCACTTTATGAAATATTCCGCATCTTCTCCGAAATTTCATCCTTCTGCTCTCGTTATTTTCATCACAGAAGCGATAAAATGCAAATAAGATCTCTTTTGTGACCACAATTTATATAAAATTTATCGGTCGAAATGCAGATAAAATTGTTAAAGTTACAGCATAAAATAATACAAGAGCAATATGGATATTGCGACACAATACGCTCGATTATACTCGAAGCACCGTTAAATCGCAGTGTAGTGTAGCTGGTGAATAGTGCAAACAGATCGATCACGATGACATAATTAACCCTAACCGAGAAGGGTTAGGACTTGAATAGCTAAGGGTCTCCAGTGTCGATACCTCTACAGAATCTCTAAATGCTCGTCGGCAAACCGTGCGTCTAAGCAAGGACAAATTTGCATTGCAGTTAGCAAATATCTCCACCTTGCTTCCTTTCGTCGAATATTCTCAGTCGAGTTGAAAAAAGCACCGGCACGCGCACCTCGTAAATACATGTCAGCTTACTGCTCGTTTTAGCTACTTCCACAATTGTTATCGAAACTATATTCCTCAGAGAATACTGCCACTCTCTTTGCCGACCTAGACAACGAGTCAAGCCATAAAGAGCGCCATAAAGGGGGCTAAAGATCGATGAACAGAGTTAACTATGATTGACGACGAGCGAAAATGCGCACGGAGTCTTCGGAGACTCGTCCTTCTCATTTTCCGCATTACGATAATCTGACACATTCTAACATCACGAGTTAAACATGTTAAAGTTCCACGAACTGTCCTTCGATGGAACACAAGAGCAAATTCACCCAAGGCTATACAGCATCATTTCTGATAGCAACATCCAACGCGTGACGGCTCGATGTCTTCATTGTATTTCCTAAATGAACTTTCGCTGCTCTTTCTTTGTACATTCGGTTTTTTTTTTATTTGCTCCCCGTTCATTAGGCGGCGCCTGGGGCAACCTGACGATGACGAGCGCAAAAATTCTTCGATCCCCTTCGCGAAGGTGATGAACCGCGAGCGAACGAGAAACGCTGAATCCTAAAATCGCGTGAGTGGATGTGGATCGGATACAATAATAAAGAAGACCTGTATAAAGTGATCCATCGGTTTTGAAATTTATCATCGAAATCTGTCAGTCGCGTTTCTCATCGCGATAGGTTTTCTTGAAAAGTAGAAGCCTTAATGGATTTTGCGATTGATGGTTACGAGAAAGAGCACGTTTAATTATTACTGTAATAAAGCAAAGTAAATGAAAAAGTTTTATTCGAAAGAAAACTTTCGAGTTTCTATAATAGTTGAGAGAAGAACGAAGTATCGAACGAGGCAAGCATAAGATTTAAAAACATAAAATCAATATTGTAATTTTACAATTTAAGGATTACAATGGCCGGAGAACCTTTCGTCTTCATTTGAGGAATTCGCGAGTCCCTCGATCCATTCGATGTATTTTGGACCCCCCGATAAGACAGAAACGCCTACGAAAGGCTCTTTTTGTCGTCTCGCAGCCCTTTGTAGGGTCACGAAGGGTCCGGCAGGTCGCTCAAAGAGAGTGAAACTTGCTCA